AGGATAACTAACCAGACACTGAAATTTTTTATATGAGAAACATGGATAACTGTAGAAGTAATTGTCCTCTTCTTTGTCACCTTCTCCCCCTGAGGTCGAGGAGGCTTTGTCTTATTGTTTTTATTTGACAGAGAATGAGATACAACAACAGCTGACTCAAATTGAGTTTTATCTTTCTTGGAGGTATCACTCAGGGAGGCCACTGTGGCAGGACTACTTTTATTCAAGCTTGGTACGGTGACGGAGACAAGAGGTGCGACAGTTTGTTGATGAACAGAAGTTGGCTAGCATTGACTTTCGAATCGAATGTACCATATGGTGTATCAATTGAACCACCTTCCATATCGAAACAACATCACCAGGACTTTGTGATTTGAAGGCCTGAAACCAAATGTTTCTCTCGCGCACATTTTGAGACGTGTAGACCAAAAAGGATATCTTATGGTACAAGTGGATCCATCATGTTTATCACTGGGGTAGATCAATTTTGGGACTGGGTTTTGCATAAAACTTAATCAACCCTATTCAAAAACCTTTATGAGATCTGCAACGAGACAATTGACTTGGAATGAGCAGGCAACGACAACTCTACTCCGCAGGTGGGCAACTGAGTGCAACAAGATGGACACACATGTGATATGATTTTCTACGACCGTGCGACACTAAAGTTCCATGGCCAGGTGCAGTCTGGGGGCTCTACACACGCCCGAGCACCCAATCATTATGCAGCTTGGAGTGATCAACCGTCTCCGTACTAAAGATCGACTGTAGTTTCTAGACGATGATCGAACATGCAATCTTTGCTGAGTGACACTGAAATTAGTGAATCGCATCTTCGTTGACTGCCACGTTAGCTCCCAAATTTGGTCTGTGGTCTGCGGTTCACGATAGGGCAGGGTTATTCCATCGACCATTGACACTTAAAGGTACACTGAATTGGACGAAGAGGGAGACACAAGGGGCAAGTTGGCAAAGCAAAATGAACAAGGATTCGCTTGCGCCAACCACGTATTTATTTAGAATGCTTGGAAGAGACTGGTCTTTCAAAACGATACCTAACCACCAGAGCTTGTCATTTGAAAGATTCAAATGTTTACAGAACCATATTCGCATTGTACGCGAACATGCTTGTTGACGTGAGAGAAGGCCCTTGGTCCATGCTAGACAAGCTCGTGCATTGAGCACATGGTCGCGTAGGCAAGCAACCGACGCGCAGGCGTCGCATATTTCATAGCACGAGCCAGGGTTACTCGTTACTATTTAAGGATATCGCCTTTAGAAGGGTGCGGAAGCGAGCCGAGTTGCGCCTGCTACGCACACGCAACCTTTTGTTTTTTAGACTTAGGTGAGAAACCAACTTTGTAGTTAGACATGGCCAGGTGCCGGGTTCTGGCCCGGCCCGGCCCGACCCGGCGGGCCACGGGCCAGCCAACACGCGGACCGCAACCGGCCTGCTAAGAACCAAGGGCCGGTTCATGAACCGACGCGGTTCACCCGCGGGTACGATCCTTGAAAAAAAATAGCGTCTACCGATTTCGCCATATCCCCTTGAGAATAGGATCTTATTATGATCTCATTCCTTTTTCCCTTTTTTCTTTCATTTCTACTCAAATTCTTGACTTAGGTAGGGATTACTATCGCGAAAAGGGGATTTTCTTTCTTACCTCCAGGAAACCCGTATTTCATATACTCATATTATATTGAGTAATATAATTTCTCTGTTCATGCCGATACCGGTGCCGGTTCGGACCGGTCCGGTACCGGTTCACGGTTCGGGCCACGGGCCGAGTCTATTTGTAGTTGTTGTCCTAGCTATTTGATATTCGAGCGAGGAGTTGTAGTTGTTCTCCTAACTATTTTATTATTCGAGGGAGGAGCTGAGTGCTACTTGTTGCGCTTTCACATTGCCACCCGACGATTGTAACTTCAGTTTGAATTTATAAATTTACTTTTACCAATAAAAAAAAGTCCTGAAACGTATAATTATCACGGAGTGCGCTTATTGGTGGTACGAACTGAAATAAGAACTGAATAATGCGGAAGCAATAAACCGAAG